TCCTGCTGCTCAGAATAGCACGGAACCAGACTGCCAGATTTATTTTCAGACTGCTTTTTATAAACGCGTGCAGTAGAAGCCCTGCAGCTACACTCTGCTTTGTTGCAAGTCTCACCACCCACACAAAAAAAGCGGTGGTTTCTCCCAGCCTCCCAGCAATGATTTAATAATAGATGCTATGACTTTTCATGCTTAAATCCCACAAATCTACAAAATACACTTCAGTCTATTTACCAATATGGCACAATGGACGGATATTCTCCATAAGCATTTGAAACTGAGGAACCAATGATGAAAAAATGAGCAAAGTACATAATGCTTTTGATTTTCTTTTCTTTCTCTGAACAGGCACCGGGTCTCCTGACTCTAGCGTGGATTACTGGGGTCCTGCTGCGGCTAATCTATCTATGACATCAAAAAAGTGATTAAAAAGGAACATCAACACTTCCAAGATTAGTGCTAGAAGTTCATTAGACTAGACTGCACGAGTACGACTGGGATTTGCTCTGCTATTGTGTCTAATTATTCCTGATGGTTTCTCCTTCCTGTTATGAGCTTGTTTAGGGAGAAAAAGAGAGAGTGAGAAGGAAAGAGGAGGGAGGGAGGAAGGGGGATGGTGAAGATTTGCTTAAATGGCTCACATCCGTGGCAGTGCACAGACCTTGACTACAGAAAATAGCTGCTATGTTTCACTGATTGCATTATGTTGTTATGGCAACTGAAGTTTTTAAAATGATGAAAAGAAATGGATAGCACATAAAAAGCTAAGTAATTAGGCTTAATGGTGGAAACAGCCCCAACAGGAACAGAAATGCCATGGAGAAAAAGGAATCCATCTCTTAACTTCTCGAGCATGCACTTTAAAAAGAACAACCTGCCTTTCCCATCTAGCCGGTCCAGGCCAGGGAACAGCCGGTGGTCTGTGATGGAGCCCGTCGTTCCCTAGTCTCGGCATCACTTCTCACCCAGGGAAAGGTGGAGCAGATACTGAGATACTTCCTTCCAACAACATTGCTTGCCTTATTTATTTTTCACAGTGCTAAACAAGCTCTGGTGGGCTCCCTTTAACTTGTCCTTCCCAAATCCTCTCCCATCAGCATTCACAAACTGCAACTCACCACCTCACTCCCAAGACTCTTAACCAAAAAGCTGTCGTCTTCTCCATGAAAGAATGCACTGGGGTGCTGCATTCACAAACAAGTTACCATCACAGAGAAACCTCCTGGCTATTTTCACAGGACCCTGGCATGCCCCAAAGAGGACCCAAGACCATGTTGTTCTATGCAGAGTGAGAAATAAGTCTCAAGAGGCCACTGCTCTCCTGAAGCACTGACGCTTGAAACAGGGCAGATGACAGAGAAGGAGGGGAAGCTACTGCACAGCAATCATCTGGAAGCTGAAAGCAGTCCTTGCAGGGTCAGGGATCCTTCCAACAGGGAAGGCGTACAACAGCAAACCCTCTTATTCTGCCTTCCCACAAAGAGCTGGAGAGCACTGGATTGAAATGGAAAGAGTAACAGTGTTATCTTAGATGGACAACTACTGTATGTGAAGAAAGATGTGGCAGTTTGGATATGGTGCTATGAAAGAAGAATATTAAGCCAATAAAAATGACGGATATTGCATCAATATTCCTCTCTGCTTCAGCAGAAATGCCTGTAATCACACATTTATGAGTATCCACACTGCTTGCCCTTTGCAGCTACCCTTGGCTGCCAGCTGGGAAGAGATATATATTCTCTACCTCTGACAGTTATTACATTTTATAAAGAAAAATCAAGTCACTAAAGAGTTTTCTGACAACTGATAAGGTCTAGCTATTCTTTTACCGACCCTTCCTTACATAAGTGGCTGAGCTGCTGAATCATAGAATCATAGACTCATTTAGGTTGGAAGGGACCTCCAAGATCATCAAGTCCAACCACCGAGCCACCAGGGCTCCAAAGTCCTCTGCCAAAACAGATCAGAATCTGTCAGGGTTGGAAGGGACCACAAGGATCCCCCAGTTCCAACCCCTCTGCCATGAGCAGGGACACCTCCCACTAGATCAGGCTGCCCAGAGCCTCATCCAGCCTGGCCTTAAAGGCCCCCAGGGATGTGCCCTCAACCACCACCCTGGGCAACCCATTCCAGGGTCTCACCACTCTCATGGGGAAGAACTTCTTCCTCACATCCAGCCTGAATCTGCCCACTTCCAGCTTTGCCCCATTCCCTCTAGTTTTGTTGTTACTCAATATCCTAAAAAGTCCCTCCCCAGCTTTCTTGTAGGCCCCCCTAAGATACTGGAAGGCCACAATAAGGTCACCTCGGAGCCTTCTCTTCTCCAGACTGAACAGCCCCAACTCTCTCAGTCTGTCCTCACAGGAGAGCTGCTCCAGCCCTCGGATCATTCTGGTGGCCCTTCTCTGGACACGCTCCAGCAGGGCCACGTCCCTCTTGTAATGGGGGCTCCAGAACTGGATGCAGTACTCCAGGTGGGGGCTCACCAGAGCAGAGTAGAGGGGGAGAATCACCTCCCTCGACCTGCTGGCCACCCTTCTCTTGATGCAGCCCAGGATCTGGTTGGCTTTCTGGAACTGGAAATACTTGCTCTTGGCTGACGTTTGACATGGGAAGGCTGAGCTGTGGGACTGGAAGGGTATTTTTCTGTGTAATCAGTGCTATTTATTGTTTTAGAATGGGCATATTTTTCACCAGTTTGATTGAGGGCTTGTCAAAGCAGGGACCATGAGGAGCCTTCTCTTTCAAAATGTTACAGCTTCTTGGTTACAGTAAGAAAATCAAGCAGATCTGTTCGGTGAAACAAATAAGTGACCCCAAACCCAAACCTTTTCAGAGAAAGGGATTATAGCAGGACACTGAACTCATTTTATGGATGGGAGACTTGAAAAGGACCAGAGCTATGGTCCTGCCAGGCCTTCCTTACACAAGTGCTCAGCACTACCAATGGCTATCACCCACCAAAGTCAGCTGGCCTATTCCAGTGACAGAGTTAAAGCACATGGGCAAGTATTTGCAGGATAAGGGCCCGAGTGATTAACCTCTCAATTCAGCAGGCTGCATCATTTCAAGCACGTGAGGAGTCCCATTGAAAGCAGTTGGATTTTGGTCTTTGGGAAAGGCACGGCTGTGGTCAATGTTAGAACAGGCAGGGAAGTCAGTCTGGACCATTCACACACGCCCAGAGCTTGGCACGTGCTCTACCATAACCTGCCTCAGAGATTAAGGGTGAGAATTCCAAAAGCACCAAAGCCCCAACTCGTGCTTGAAAATCATCTGATTCACAGGCTTAAAGATATGTGTTAGGCCAAAATGGGGGCTTCTGAAAATTCAGCCTAGAAGACCTAGCACCCCCCCTTCTCAAAGTCTCTTGCTAGCCAGCAACTGTCCTCCTCCCAGCCCTTTCTGAGGACTCAGCTGCTCTCCCCGCTGCACAGTAATGACGGACTTCTCTGGGTGAGGTCCAGCCGGATGGGTGGCCCTCCCTGCTCACAGACTGTCAGCACTGAGAGCTTTTACCTCTTGACACAGCACTTGCCTACTCAGCAAGCTTACCGTATTCCTATAAGTCAGCCACAGCTTTTGGGGATGTTTGTGCTTACAGAGAAAAATACTATTAAAAGTCTTGCCCCCTTCCTATTAAGCTCACTCCAAGCCTGGTGATTGCTTTCCCTCCTGCAAGCACAGCAGCAGCAGCAGCATATGTGACTTAGTAGTGTTGAGAGTTGGCATGTGTTCCTGGTCAGCTTCTGTGCCTGCCTGCTTTCTGTGGGTAGGTGTATTTTAATTCTCCAGAGGAGGGAGGGAGGAGGATTACCAAAGCAGCATCAAAACCACCTACGCAGATTGAAAAGCAGTAGCCAGGAAGGCTTTTTAACCCTTACTGGCTGGAGTTGCATCCTCCCTTCCGAACAGCAGCTGGAAAAAGCTACTTTGCTTTCTAAGTTTATTATTAGTTTATGAGTGATAGCCCATTACCAACTGATCCAAAAGTTTGTCCTCAAACTCGGACACAAAACAATTCATGTCTGTCCAATGTGCAGCATGACTTTGCCTCCAAACATGTAGAAGCAGGTCTTGGAGACAGCTCTTGTAACATGCACCACCCTCGTGAGCGCACGGCAGAGAGATGGACTTGGGTCCCTTATTCTCCACAGCAAGGGACGACCTCAAGGAAAAGTCTGATAGAGGAAAGAGAAGCCAGTTTGTGCGCAGGCTTTGGGCAGGAAGTTAAGTTAGGCATAGATACTGTTAATGGAAAGCCACCAAAGGCAGATGTTGAGGATGAAAAGTGAGATGAAATTAAGGAAAAAGAAGACACTGAATTAGGTGTTTAAACAATGTTGAAACCACCTTAATAGCCAAGGACAGGGACAACGGCTTTTGTAACAGTGCAACTTGAGATGATTTCAACTTGCTAAAGACCTATCCCAAAAGCTTGGTATGTGACAGCACTGCATTAACAGGATCTTTTTTCCTCAGAATATTTCAAGTCACACTAGAATCCCAGAAAAAGCAAATGGTGTCCCGTGGGGGCAATTCTTCAGCGTGCTGTTCGTCCAAAGAGATACAAACCTTTCAGTGTGGCTGACACCATAGCAGCAGAGGCTTTCGTCTCTCAAGGTCACCAACATGGCCTTCCAGTTTTGGGGAAGAAGGCAGCCATCGCACAACTGTGCCTTTGAACTGGCATGCATATTCACCGCGGCATGTTAAGCTTTAAATCACATCACAAAAATTCTGCTCCTGGTCTCTGAAAACTTGGTAACATGCAACCTTTCCAGTTCGCTGCTTCAGAATACTCCACCTACT